TTCAATGTTTCCAGCTTGAGCTTGCGCAGACTTAAGACAGGTTCTTAACCTAATATTTCTTTAATACACACTTTCTAATGTGCCTTGAAAGATTCTAAGTGATGTTAAATTCAGTTTAAATGCTTTATGTCATTTCACGTAAAGCACACAGTGCTAGTGTTTTTGACCTCTCCAGACAATCAGATCACTTGTTTTGATGTTGAACTGACATCAGTCTGTTTACTTGAAAAATGTACATTTTTTAAATTTCATCTATTTCCATTGCACTTTTGGTAAAGTAGCATCAGAAGTCTTGAATTTAACTTGTTCTGCCTGTAGTCACTTGGTTGAAACACATACTGGAGCTATCAGGTATGAAATCTAAACAGGTATAAGTCGATCCTGCAGACAACAAAGCTATAAATCTGGAAATAAAAGCTGTAAATTGAAAGTCTTTCCGGGACAGAAACAATATCGGCATCTCTTGAAGTCATTCTTGGAGGACAGCAGTGAGTTCCTGATAGTGTGCTGCTATAGACCCTGACAGGAAAATAAACACTGGGACTTGGTCAATAGGCCTTCCTGTAAGCTTGTTGCTTGCAAGTCTTCTCAAGTATCAGGGAAGGCATTATTGATATGTTACAAAATGTTACTGTAAATGACAACTGATAAGAGTCGATTCCCTCTCCTCAGTGGGGATATATACTGTTAAAAATGAAACCCGTGACATGTTTGGTGGCTTTCAGACCCAGGGGAGGTGGGTTGTTTTTTTTTTGTGTAGCCATGTAATTCAATCTACAGCACCTCTTTAAACAGGACACATAACATAAGGTTGAATTTTTACTGCCAACTTAACTTGCCTCCTTCAAAGAATAATTCAGGAAGAATTGTGAGGAACTGCATTTTTCTTTTTTTAGTTGAGTACTTCAGGCATCACAAGATGAATTCTGTGATTCTTTCAACCAAGGTGGAGGGCCAAGGAGTTGAACCCCAAGGGGGGCACAGGGGTATAACATGAATGGAGTCATCCCTGCATAACTCTGGCCAGTGAGTGCCCCCACCCCCTCTTCCACCTCTGAACTGTTCGGTGGAACCACAGCAGTGTAAGAGCCTCATTTAGGAGCACAGAAAGAAAAGCAGAAATCTCTTTCTCAGGAAGATTAGTGGCTGTCCCTTTGGAGTAGCCCTGTGGACGGGGAGGGATGGGGGGAGGTCTATTTTTCTCTGGGACATTTTTCTCTGCCAGGGAGGGCCGTGACCCACTCCAGAGCACCATCCAGAGAAAGGCCCCGTGCATAAGGCAGAGACCTCAGCAGAGACCCTCAGACTCAAGTTCTGAGACTTACCCAATGATAACCATAATTAACACCCAGTTCCTTATCGCAAATCCACCCTCCACTCCCAGAAAGACCAATTATACTACACACCATGTCTTCATCCATCTATGCTACGCTTTCGGTACCTTTACCTGTAAAACAGCTTATCTCATGGGTGGTAACCTCTATGGTACTACAGCTGTACCCTTGTGGAGACCAGAAACCAGTCTTGAACCTTTGGTGACAATTTTGGACTTTAATGTCAAGATACAAAGATCTTGACATTAAAGATCTTTGTATCTTCTAGTTTCTGAAACTGTGTTCAGCATAGGGCTAAAAAGCAAGAGATTCACCTGCTGACAGGTACCTGATTCAGAATAAAATTTTCTTAGTCCAATAAAATGGACTCAAACTTAGTAATCAGATAATTCCAGCATTTTAAATCTAGAAGAAAAGTTGCAGATGCAATTTGTTTTCTGCTTATTGTAATATATGATCCATTTTTAGCCTTCAGAAAGTTACTCATAGTTACCCTAATAAAAAGCCCCAAGGAGTTACATTCAAATACCCGTAGGAACAGAAACAGACATTTTTTGGATTTCTGTTTCAGAGATATTTCGAGTTAGAGTAGTAAGACTTATTTTTGATCTATTTTCATGAGGAAAGACTGGAAGAAGTGATTTAATGCTTTTGCAGTAAGGGCTCTCGAAAGTGAGGTCATTTTTCTCCTATTGGCACTCTCCTTAGATACATCAGTGCTGAGAATAACTGTGGACATTACGTTTTATATGCTGAGGATCATCGATCTTTGCAAAGGCTTCACAAGCCTCTGGCAAATTCTAAGAAAGATGAAGACAACACTGTGGTTAGGCAGAAATAATCAGCATTACCCAGCTTGTCTGCTCCACTGGCCTCGTACAGTCAACACAAAAATGAGCGATGATGGAAAAATTCTCTCTTGCAAACTTTTTCTGAATATAACGGGAGTCGTAAAAGAACTCTGGCAGGTCTGTGTTTGAAACCGTCACTCTTCGTCAGTCGAGGTCAGAGGAGAGTAGCACATCTGAGCGCATGTACACTTTGGTGCAAAGTGGGGAGGGGGGGTGTATCAATCACAGGTTTCCCTTTGAAATTGTGAGATGTTTTACAGTCCTGGAAGTGGGCACCTAATCTGAACACATGTTATTCTGACATGCTGAAGCACTCGTAAACCCCTGGGCCTGGGAATCAGGTTGCGGGAGGCGAGCCTGTGGAAGCACGCCCTGCACCGAGACAGATGCAGGCTGTCACACAGAATGTGGGTGCCCATTTAAAACCATTAAAAAGACCCTGAGAAACAAGTCTGATTCTTATCATATGGACTCAATCTGATCTGGGCGTTTGTGCCAGCATTCCCCTTTCCCTTTATCCTCATCCTACTTCTTCTTTCCCCTTGGATCCTAACACACTCTCTTTATTAGAAACCAGACACAAACTTCCATTATGTTTCCACACTCAGAGAGACAGACAAGTTCAACAAGGCAATGCAAGTCTCCATGAAACACAAGCAAAGTGATGAGATTCGTGACCAGCTGACAGAAGGGATTATGGAGAACAAGATGTTCACGGGTTGTTTCTCCTTGAGTTACACTATTCCATTGTGGAGTTATATTTTCAAAAATAACCTCACTGCATATGGACTATACAGGGGACCATTTGGTGTCGCCGTTAAAGCTCAGAGTAATCATCCTTTTTCAACTTGCAGGGATACTGTTTTTTTGGTTTTTTTTATTAGTCCTTTATCCAGGTAAAAAATCTCATTGAGATTAAAAATCCCATTTTCAAGAGAGACCTGGCATCATGGCAACAAAAGTCAAAATACGCATACCACATAAGTATATAACATTTAAAACAAATACAACATCCCATACCAACATGTGTAAAATAACAGATCAAATTAAAAGTACATTAAAACAATCACACTGAGTAAAAGAGTTATTCTCTCGTTCATTTAAATCAGACTTAAACTCTCCCAAGGTAACCAATTCTGATAATTGGTTTTAAAGTGAAACAAGGCTCCTAAACAGTCTGAAGGCTGATAAACCTGCGACTTATCACAACAAGAAACCTATAGCTCTTTTAAAATTGAACTATTATCCTTGCGCATCCAATAGTGTCACAGGCAGTGAGTGAAGCTACTCACTCTAAAACACACCATGTGCTGTCATGGTGACTGGCAGTATTTTATGTCCTGTAATGAGACCACATTGGTAATTTTTCTTTAAAAAGCATTTCCATTTTGGTCTTCCTAAGAGGAAGAAATTCTTTAAGAAGAGTGGATCTGAACCTAAACCTAAACCTTACACCCACTTGGTCAACGGAAATCCATCTGGGGTTAGGGTTAGGAGTAGGACGCGGGTACTTTTAAATGTAGTTTGAGTACTTAAAAATTCCATTTCAAATACGACTAAGCAGAACAAACAAGGCCCTAAAAGTTTACCAGTGCAAAACTACTTGATGTATTCACAATCGTCCTATATTTTTTGTTTGAATCTGCATACTAATATAAGAAACGAAAAGGAGGCATAATCCAAATTGAAAGCAAAAGCCTTAAAACTATTTAATGACATACTAATGTCCTACTTTAAAGGTTCCCCTGTGTGACAAAGTGAGCTTTGTGATGGCAGGGCATCAGGCACTTCATTAAACAGTAAAACAACTTGAATTCGCTGCAGTGGCCTCTCACTTGATGCCAGAGCATCTTTCTGAGGGGGTTCAGTGTCCACCAGCCGGCGTTAGTAATTTATAACACTTGCACCTCAGAGGCCCCAACAAGGTCCTCCAACCTCGTTATGATGAGTTTTCATCACACACTCACTAATGAAAACATGAGCTCTCATCTTTTAATTATGAGACGAAGTCTTGGACACCCAGCACCCTCACTGTTACCTCACAAGCACAAATAACCCCTGATGGTTGCAGCCTGCTGCTTTTCAATGGGGCAAGGTTATGAAAATTCGACCCCCACAGCCTCCGTGACACACAATGGTCACAACTGTGTAAACGACTGAATAATTCATGTTATGGCAAGTGCAATATTTTCTTATCGCTGGTTTGAAAAACTTTTGGACCCTTTGTGGAGGTGCCAGAGAGGACGTACTGAAACGCCCTAGTTTCTCACCACGCATCCCTAAACAATTAATGCTCATGGCTCCTCTCGTGGCAGGCCACCAAGCCCATCATTAAGCAGAAATAGCGCTAACGCCACAATGTCATACGACATCTTGTTAGCATTTCAAAGGTGCTTCCCTCCTCCCTCCTCTTTATCCACGGCCTCTGATACACCATGTCGTCCACTGCTGTGCCAGCCTTTTTTAGTAATTCATGAAATTTACACTCGGGAGGTGAGAACAAGGTCTTTCGACCTCATTATAACATTTTTTCATCACTCATTCTCTGACATCTCTGAAACACGCAGCCCCCATCTTTGAGCATTTTCATGTGCCACCCAACTACTTAGTGAGCAGCAGTTCACTGCAGTGCAGAGTGCAGAAACCTAAAGACAAAGGTCCAGATTCTGGTGTTTGAAGGCGCCAAAGAGAAGCTGATTTTTTTTTTTTTTTAACAAATTACTTTGACAAGTATTATGTCAAAGCTCTAATCTGTCATGTCTTCTGCTGTACTTCCACCTTACAATGAGGAAAGAGCAAACGGATACGGATGTACCTCTGGTCAGAGTGGTGGGCGAGGGTTTCTTCGGGAGTTCTGAGAAGCTGCTTCCATCCAGACCAGAACTCTTACACTCCTTCTTGTCAGTTGCTGTTGGAGCTGAAGTTTCCATGCTGCTCTTCAATTTCTGTCACAAGCTGCAGAGGCAAGACACACATAAGAACATAAGGTCAAAAAACTGATCAAGGAAAACATCATGTGGTGAAGGAAGTACTGCGCTGAACTCAAAGTCCTGCAGAAGCAAAAACAGCGTAATAATAATAATAATAATAATAATAATAATAATAATAATACAGAAAAGTCAGACAGTTGTATTAATGTATTGTAGTAATGTATTAGTGTTCTGTCATTCTGGGAAATCAACTCAAAAAAAAAAATTTCTTTCATTGAAAAATATTTAAACATTGTCCTTTTCTTCTAACGAGCGAAAAAGATACTCATCATTCTCACATCTAGCACACCAGTTCTCAAACGTTTTCTTGCATGCCCCTCTTCAGAAACTCAGACTAATTCCCACTTTACAGTCCACATTTATCTTCAATTATTAACATGAATAGTAACAAAAAATAAAAGCAAAGAACATAAAACTGACCCCTTACAGTGGGTCAAATACCCCAACAGAGGGGCCCACCCCACAGTTTGAGAACCACTAGACTAACAAAAACAGAGCTAAGTTTAACAGAGCACAAATGTTTCCATTCACAAACCAAACAAATTTCAACAATCTTTAAGCTACAAAATAGAATTTAAGTTGGAAAAAGACCCAACATTAAAATCTGGAGATTGTAGAATTGCACAGTTGGGCTTTCAGGAAGCCAAACATTAAATAAGTAAATTACTCTCAGCAATTACTGCTGACATAACAGACGGCACAGGAAGCAAGAGAGGTGAATTTTTTTTCATACTGAACTAACAAAAACTGTCTTGCTATAGTGTGTTTGTAGCATATCTCCATAGGTGTGCATGTGTGTTTATTGGGCCAGTGTAACCGAAAAGCCTTGAACACACACACACACACACACACCCTCAGGTTTCTCAGTTTGATGTAATGAGTTCATGGAGCCCCTTCTGTTCCAATTGTAAATGTGAGTGGCCCTCAGCGCTGAGGTTTTAGCCTCACGCACTGTGTCAATACCTCCTCATGTCTGTGTGAAAGGCTCGATGACTTGGCAACCTGCCACTTGTTTGACATGGTGGGACCTACAAGATCATCCTCTGCTGAGAGCAAATAAGACCCAGTCTCTCCATCCACCTCCCCCACCAGCCCCCCACCACCGGGCTGGCCTAGAAGGGAAAAGTCATTCTCCGCGCTCTGGCTAGCTTGTGGTCATTGCTTTTCCACATGCTTTCAGACACTGGTGAGAAAACGTTTGTCACAATGCTGAAAAGACAAGAGAATGAACAACTGCATGTAATCACAGGGGGGTGTTGGGTCTGCAGGTTTCTGTCCTCTCCTCACACCTGTTTGCAGCTAGCTGATTAAAACAACCTCAGATCTTATAAACCAAATGTGTTTATGACCTAATATGTGCCCAAAGAACACAAACAACATCCAGAGGATATTAATTGTTGCTTATATATGAGAAACAAATGTGATTTTTGGCTGCAAAGAAACCACAAAATAATTCAGTTATACAGCACCTATCCACAACAACACCCGGCTCACTTTGTGTTAGGGAGGGTCACCTGATCCATCCCAAACTATAAGCTTTTTTAGAAAGCTTATATCTTAAAGTTTGAAGTCTAATCTTAAAAGCAGAGAGGGTGTCTGTCTCCTGAATCCAAACTGGGAGCTGGTTCAACAGAAGAGAGGCCTGATAGCTGAAGTCTCTAACTCCCATTCTACTTTTAGAATCTCAAGGAACCACAACTAAGCCAGTGCTCTGTTGGGATTATATGATACTGTGAGGTCTTCAAGATAAGATGGGGCCTAATCAAGAGGAGAAGTATTTTAAAATTCAATTCTGGATTTTAAATTGCGCCAAAAAAGAGACGTTAATATAGAAGAACACGGATCTCTCTTTCTAGTCCCAGTTAGTTGTCTCATTGTGTTTTTTGGATCGACTGAAGGCTTTTCAGGGAGCTTTCAGAGCAGCCTGATGATAATAAATTACATTAGTGGAGCCTAGACGTTGTAACATATTAAAACACGGGATGGTGTGACACCAGGTAAATACACAATTAGGAATGTGGAGAATGATACCGTCATTCAAATGGAAACCTCAGTGATCTGGTTCCTACCAGGCAAACGTGTGAAGCGTTGTTTTCGGTTTCATGTGGATTTCCAACATGTCATGCTTTATTGTGAGGTGTGCGTACTAGCAGCCATGTCTGTTACCCTTCGGAGGTGCCAGTCGCCTGTCAGTGAGCCAATGTAAGCCGATTAGAGGTGGGCGACTAACAGGTTTAGGCTACATCTGTTTCTTTTTTTCTGCTGCCAAAAATGTCGCTGAGCTCGCCAGCGAGCCATCTCGTCTCTGAGAAGTCCGTCACTCTGACATCACCTTAGTGATAGAATCTAATTTGCTCTTTCATGGGCCTTTATCGTATTTAGACTTGGCCAAAAAGCCGACTAGTTTTTGGTGGTGATCCCTGTTGGCTCGGATAAGATGTGCCCATGAACAGACCAGAGCTCGGAGCAACCGTGTTCGCCTTTCAAGCAGCCTGACTGAGAATCCTCCCCTTAACATTGCCGCCTGATGAACATCTGGCATCGCATTAATGGCCGTTTCCATGCTTTTACAGCAAGCCAACTATTTGGTTTCCAGTTGCCTCTGAACCTCGAGCCAATACTTAGATTAAGAGGGGTTTGGGGGTCGTTTAGCAAGAAACGAATAAATAAAAAAACAGGTGCAAAAACTGTCAATAACTGGAAAATTTGAGCACATTTTTGAAAAAGTGGCCCCAACTTCACCCTCACTCATCCTTCCTTAATACCTTGGAGCTGTTACATTACACCCTCCACCCCCCTTAACCAATTTCTCCCTACAGGCAAGACCCTGTTGCCCCCGATGACAGGGGAGCCCAGTTCTGACGGGCTGGTACAGGTGTCAGGAACTAAGCGGACAGATGGCAGGGGCCAAAGGCGAACAAACAACAAGGGTGCACTTCTTTACTCATCTTCTGGTTGGCTGGGCAGCCTGTCGCAGGACGAGCAGCGTCCCCCCCCCCATCCACCCTCTGGTGTCATGTGACCACAGGCTCAGAGACTTCAGAGGGCAGAGCAGGCATCTGATTGAGTCTTCTTTTTTTATGTTACACCTGAGCAGAACCCAGGCTTTTAAATTTATCTGGTCTCTTACAAGACGGTCACTGGAGGCGATGCTCTACAGACGGCCTCAAAATTCTGATGATCGAGTGATTTCCTGGAAGTGCAGAGCTAAAAACACCACAGCAATGTCAGTCTAACAACAAAATCCCAAAACAAGACTTGCACAGATTGCAGTTCTAAATGATTTATTTTGTTCATCTGAATGCAAAGCTGCTTTTCTTTGCCTGTGGTTAAGGCCAGACTAACCATATCCGAAACCTTAAGCTTCACAGCTTCACTTTCATCTTTGTTCTTGCTCCTTCCTGCCACAAAAAACTGGATGATTTTCCCCACTTTAGTGAATTATCTTGCAGACATTCAAAACTGCTATTTAGAAGTGAGCACAGACACAAAGAAACATCTTATATTTATTTAATTACCCAAATCCTTCCTTTCCTGTCACACGCAGTCTGCTGTACATATTCTAGATTTATAATAAATTATTGTATTTGATGATTCATAGAAAAGGAGTAGTTTATAGGAGAGATTGCACATCTTGATTTTCCTTCCCCAGGACTTTGCTATGATGGACGGTCCAGGCGTGCCAGTAACCGCACAAGGCACCGGAAAAAGACTGAGGTAATGGGGAGTTGTCACTGATATGTTTTCTGCTTCGAGGCTTAACCTCTTAAGATCCATCAGGTCACCTAGGATTAGTGTTCAGTTGATGTCCCCCCATTTTCATTGACGTTTTGCCTGTTTGGAAGATCAAATGGAAAACTTTAACACAAAAAAACTAACCCCAAAATGTCTAACACCTCATTTGAAATGTATCATCTTCTACTTTATATATTTAAAAAAAAGGCTATTCAGCATGTGGCTAAAACCAAACCAAGCCCTAGATGAGCTGCCAGTGACCTAAGATCATAGGAGAGCCATATCATTCCATTTATTTCTGAGCAAAATCATTTGTTGTGGGAGCAACGATGAAAGCACTAGTGAGAAAAATCGCCTGCTTAATGAATTTGCTCTTCACGTCAGGATTGATTTTCCCCTGGTCTCGCCTGCTTTTGTCTGAACTCCTCTTCCGCTCTCTGTTAATTTACCTTCTGCCCCCTTCGTCTCAGACGTGCAGGACTTTTGTTATGAGACCCGGTGTGTGTTTTTCTTAGCGCCTCGTTCAGTTTCAAGTGTTCCTCTCCTCCACTACCGTTCAACAGCTCCCCTTTCACCAACACTGAAAGGAATGCAAACACACATCAAAAGAGGCCCTCTCATTCTGAAGATTTCCAGGCTTTGCTCTTCTTACTTTCTTCCTTCCTATCTTTCAGTGAATGCGATCCGTATGCTGGTAGGCTCTCTTTCCTGGCAGCGCGCACACACACACAGTCAGTTTCTCACACCAACTGCTGTCCCACACTCTGCTCACTTGGCAAACAAGGGACAGACGGATAAGTGAGGTCTCCAGCCCCTATGCCACCTGCAGACCTCTCTGCTCAGGTTTCTGACGGTGACACTCATGCAGGTTAACAAAACAACTAAAATGAGCCAAAATATGGTTTTGTTTTACATATTTTTGGATCTTCATCACACATTTTGTTTTGGAGCCATGATTAAGATGAAAGACTTTTGATCTTTTTTTTTTGAGGTATTGTAGACTTTGGATTGTATACTACTCTTCATATTTTCTTATTTGTCACCTTTAACATCTTTAACCCTTATGAGTATCTCCTGATCTGCCATCTTTTTGGTTCAGATTTGGTTACATTTAGGTGACTAAGCCTATTAGATTAAAGTTGTCCTATGACAGAGATAATTCACATAAGCTGAAAAAACTGCTAAACCATTTTAAGTTTGCTTAACTAAAAGTCAGCTCTATAGCGTGAC